GATTATTCCTGAAGGTGTGGGTGCCCAGAGAATGGCAGGAAAAGGCAGCGGGCTTTCCATCCGAGGACACAGCCCAACCCTGCCCCGCATCCTGAGGTGAGGACCCCTCACGTCAGCAGAGAACCGACTGGAAGAACGCTGTTTCTGGCCATGGAGACGATTCGCCGGTAAATACGACAGCACAGGTGTTTCCCAGGGATGAGACCCTGCCCTGTGCCAGCTGGAGGCTCCCCGTGTGGGCACACGTCTGCTGGTGTCCCAGCTGTGGGCAACACCAACAGGAGACTTTAATTCTGCATCTGAAATGCTGCCAGCAGGAGAGCCTGTGCCCGCACACGTCAAGCCTGCAGAGAAGGCTGGGTAGAAAGGTGTCGCTGGAGTACACTGGTCACGTGCCCGTTTCTCCTTCTGGAAAGTTGAGACATCGGTGATTGCAGCAGAATGAACCCACTCTGGCCTGGTGCTGGCAGCTGGCTTTTCCGTGGGCACGCTAGGTTCGTGCGCAAGATGGAGGCTAACATCGATGCTATTTTATTATTTATCTTCCCAATCTGGTTGGCAGCTAAGCTTGTTTCGGGTCTTGTCTAATGGCCCTGTTTTCTTTTTCCCATTACTGTATTTAATGCTAGGGCAGCGTTACTCCAGCTTTTCTGATTCTCAGACTGCCCAGAGAAGAAGTCGCCATAAATTCCCTGCTATTTACAATGGTTCATGGCCCACTGACTCAACCTGACACTCGCTTTACTGCTGTCCTTAATGCTTTGTTCACAGCGGAGGTGGCAGGGGTTGGTCTGAGAGCTGCAGCTGGGTCAAGAGCTCCGCTCGCCGGCCCTGTGGGAGGAGCTGGGAGCTCACTGAAGTTTCACACCATAGTTTGCTTCCCCATGTAAGTGTTGAGTGTTGTGAGAACATTCCTTCCTAGCTGTACGTGAGAGAGCCCCACAGACAAAGCCATTGCTGGATATGTCATTCCAATGTCAAGTCCATCTAGCGAGCTACCATAACCACCTTTGCTTCCTGAAGACCCAGCTCAACTGTATTGTTCTGCTCGTAGCATCTTGAAATACCGATTGCTACTCAGGTACTAATTTTCCTGTTAGGATTCACCTTTCTGATCTTTTAAAACCAGTTCTTCCCTGTACCCCCTGTCATGGGGAAAAAACACTGACCTTCCAGTATCTGAGTCACTTTCACTGTCTAAATTGTTTTACTCTTGGCCCTTATCCATACTGTATTCTTGGTCATTCCAGGTGACATCCTAAACCCAGCTGTTTTCCAGTCCAAAAGTTGCCATTCCATCTAATCCTTAATATTTTTTTATAAGCCCTAACTTTGGGTCCTGGCATGGGAGCCATAGTTAACTTCCCAGGAGGAGTGTTGGCTTCCACGCCCATTCCATTCCGCCAATGCCTCCTCTAGCCTTGTCAGTTGAGAGATGATGCCTTACAAGTTGCATAGCACTGGAACTTTCCTAGAGTAATGGCTGTCCTGCCAGGGTCTCTCTGGGCTCATTCTTCTACTGACTTGGTGACTTACACCGAAGACCTCCAGCACAGCCGTTCTGCGGTGGCTGATCCGCTAGAACCGCTACAGCACATCCTGAGACCAAGCTGTACTCCCCGGTAGTTAGGAACCAATGCCCCAAACAATAAACTTTGATAACAAAGACAATGAGCTTTGGCAGTTTTATTTCTTGAACTGTTAACATGGTGAAGTTACATGACCTTGCAACACTTTGGTACCAAAAAGTACACTCTTGGATCATAAGCAGCATTCGTGGGATATAATATAAAGTAACAAGGGCATCTTTAAAGGCAATGGGAGGGCCTGACGTGGTAGCCTAGTAGCTAAAATCTTTGCCTTGTATACGCTGGAATCCCATATGGGCACCGGTTCGTGTCCTGATGAGCCTACGTCACTTCCAGCTCCCTGCCTGTGGCCTGGGAAGGCAATGAGGACAGCCCAAAGCTTTGGGACCCTGCACCCATGTGGGAGACCTGGAAGAAGCTCCTGGCTTCGGATTAGCTGGGCCTCACCTGTTGTGGCCACTTGGGGAGTGAGTCAGCGGATGGTAGAGCTTTCTGTCTCTCTTCTGTATATCTGATTTTCCAATAATAAATAAATCTTTAAAGAGGGGGCGGGCAATGGGAAAGAAAGACTGGCCATGGAAGTGTGTGGGAGCAGGTGGCTGCTCTTTTCCTTAGTCATGTTTCGGATAGCCTCAGGAAGGGTACATTAACAGAGTGACACAAAGGAATTGGAACATGCTGACAAAACTGATGGACAGGAGAGAGGACTTGGGGTCCTGGGAAGTTAGATGAACTCATGGGCCCTTTGTGTCTTAGTAAAATCAGTCTCCACGATGTAAGTTATCCTGCCGACAGATTCAAGGAAGTGGCAATCCATTCAAGAATAATCCAGATACCTTTCCTTTTCAAGCTGTTGGGGATGGAGGCCAACCCCAGCACAGGCTATTGCCGTAACAGCCTCCAGGCCTGAGCTCCTGGACAGGCTTTCCATACCTGACTCTTCCCCCCCAGAGGCATTTTTTGGGAGTCTAAGAGAATTTGTGAAATCTGGGCGTATCCACTCCCTTTAGCAACAGGGAGAAGTGTTTTGGGAACATTGTGTCTGGCTGATCACTTTAGAGGGCCTGATAATGACAAGTCTGTGTGCTAAGCCGCAGCCCTCCGGCCTGGCACAGTGAAAACCCCTGGGTCTAAAAGATTATTACCGAAGTTCCCACCATAAACAAAACACAAGCTCTAAGTCTGAAACTACCTGGTTTCTTAGGAGTTTTTGTTAGTTTTTTTGTTTGTTTGTTTTGTTTTGTTTTTTTCCTGCTCTCCCTGAGATCTTACCTTAGGCGAAGATTTCTTAACCTAAACAGAAAGCTGCCCACACAGCTGGTGTTCTTAAAGACGGAGTCAGCCTTTGATCAACAGCGAAGTTCACGCCTCTATACCTTCCTGCTGTGCCTCCATTGTCACCCCCCCTACTTAAGAAAACGCTGGGGCAGTCGTGGTGGCACAGCACACTAGCCCTCCACCTATGCACCAGCATCCCATATGGCTGCCAGTTCATGTCCTAGCTGTTTCACCTCTGCTCCAGCTCCTTCCCAATGGCCACAGAAGGCAGCAGAGGATGGCCCAAGGCCTTGGATTCCTGCACCCACGTGGGAGACCAGCAGTTCCTGGCTCAACTCGACATTGCAGACATTTGGGTAGTGAGCCAATGGATGGAAGATCTGTGACTCCCTCTCTCTGTAACTGTCCAAAATAAGTATTTATATATATATATATACTTATATACATATATACACACACTAGTTCAAGTCCCACCTGCTCTGCTTCTGATCCCACACTCTGCTAAGATGCATGGGAAGGCAGTGGAGAGTGGTCCCAGTCCCTGGTCCCCTAACACCCATGTGGGACACCCTCATGGGGCTTGGGACCTCTGGCATTGGCTCAGGCCATTGTGGCCATTTAGAGGAGTGAACTAGCAGATAGATCTGCCACTCTGCCTTTCAAATGATTTCTTGAAGAAAGCTGACTTGGTGAACAAACTGTTTTAGGGTGAGGGCCTGAAATGGGAGACAAAGGTGAAGATTGCTGCCGTTTCACCCAGGGGAGGGGGTACTGGAGAGCAGGCCATGTCCCCTGGGTGCTTCACCTGCGGTGGGGGAGGACCAGAGAGCAGGCCAGGCTCCCTGGACAGCAGGGAGCAGTTTTTCTGCTTGCAGTTCTGCCATGGCAGTGGGCAATAGGGCATGGATAAAGTTCCCTGATGCTTCTGCACTTGAATTTCATGAGGTCGGGATTCATGAGGTTATCTTCATTTTGGGAGGGAGGGAGTTATTTATTTCTTCAATTTTTTTTTTTTTTGAAAGACGGCTGTGATCTGCAAGTTCAGTCTTCACAGGCCACTGGCTGAGGCAGAAGCCAGGAGCCAGGAACTCACTGACGGGAGTGATCATAGCCGTGTCCCAAGGTGTGCTTCCTCAAGAACCCTGAGGTGGGCCGCGGGCATTTGAACCACCATGGCTTTGTGGTTTCCATTTTTAAAGATTTATTCATTCATTTATTTTTTTTTAAAGATTTATTTTATTTTTATTGGAGAGGCGGATATACAGAGAGGAGAGACAGAGAGGAAGATCTTCCGGCCGATGATTCACTCCCCAGGCGGCTGCAACGGCTGGAGCTGAGCCAATCCGAAGCCAGGAGCCTCTTCCGGGTCTCCCACGTGGGTGCAGGGCCCCAAAGCTTTGGGCTGTGCTTGACTGCTTTCCCAGGCCACAGGCAGGGAGCTGGATGGGAAGTGCAGCTCCCGGGATTAGAACCGGCGCCCATATGGGATCCCGGGCGTGCAAGACGAGGACCTTAACCACTGCGCCACCGCGCTGGGCCCTAAAGATTTAATTTTATTGGAAAGTCAAATTTACAGAAAAAGGGAGAGACAGAACAATCTTCTGTCCACTGGTTCACTCCGCACATGGCCACAATGGCCGGAGCTAAGTTGATCTGAAGCCAGGAGCCAGATTCCTCCGGGTATCCCACATGGGTGGGTGCAGGACCCCAATGCCACAAGCAGGGAGCTGGATGGGAAGTGGAGCAGCTAGGACACATATGGGATCCTGGCCAATGCAAGGCAAGGATTTAGTCACTAGGCTATTACGCCAGGCCAGCTCTGTAGTTTTAACATCTCCCAGAGAAGCCCAGGTTGGTTGAGAATAAGTCACAGTGTTCACTGACAGAGAATTCCTCCCAACTTTAACAATTCTTAATTATTGTCTCACCTAGAACTCCTGGTGGCGTGTGCCAGGAACTGAAATCCAGTTGCTGATCCACTGGAAGAGATGGTACAGCTTCACTGGGGCACGCTTTGTAATCCTTTTCATTTCCTACGTTCTTCTGAAGCCTCGGCCCAGATCTCATGTAGCCATGCTTTCCCTATCTCCATAGAAGGCGGGCTTCCTTATATGTTCAATGACAAGCAAGTTTTCTTCCAAAAGATTTATTTGTCATCGTCAAAGTACAAATTCAAACACATCCAGATATAAGAACCATATGTTCACATCTATATATCCTACACAAATGCATCTATATTCTAATTTATCCATCAACACTAACTCTTCAGTAAGAAGCAACATCTTTAAAAAGAAAAAAACAGTTAATTATCAGTAACACTGTCACATGTAAATTGTTTTCATTTTATCACTTGAAAGGGTGGAAGCATTTCATAGGAAGTGTTACCAAGCATAAATACAATTCATGGAGCTCTTAAAATATATTCTATAATGACAACAAAAGAATCTGCCAATCCTTTGGCATATTCACCCCCAAAAAAAAGGCCAAAAACTCTAGTTATTAACGTTTAATAAGGTTGATTAATTGTATTCCAAGAGTTCAGTTTGATTTTAAGCATAACTTTATTGTATCAAATTGCACAGCACCTCCAAGTTATACTTTCCATAGGTAGAGTCGTGATGATACATTTCTCAGGTGTTCACAGAGGAAACTGGTCCCTCGAGGAGCTGATGTGATTAACACTGTGCAGGTCACTTCAACCCAGATGCACACGCAGGATGCAGCAGAATGGCAGCAACTTGGGGCCTGCCAGATCTGGCGTTTGTGATGTCAGTGAGCACAGCATGTCCTGCTGAGCCTGGAGACCAAGTTGCAACAGCTTCCTTGTCCTAGCAAGTCAAGTGCTAAGCTTCCGATGCTAAAACATGTCCATTCCTGGCACGGGACGTGGTCGGTGCCTGCTCCCACAACTGGGAGCACAGGCATTCAGCAATAGGAGCCCTTGGCAAAGTTAGATTCCTGTTCGTGGCTTCACAGTAGCAACACAAAATGTACTCAATGTCACATTTCCATAGGAAAGGTTATATATACATTATACACTTCAGCCTTGAAAAGTGTACCCAAAAGCTCGGCCTGGGCTGGGCGAGGGTCCTAGCAGAGCAAGAGCCCCTCCTTGGCGGCCAGGCGCTGCCGGTGGACCTTGTCTTGCTGCAGCTCCTCGTGATTTGGGTGCCAGAGTTTCATGATGATCCTCTCAATGTTAAGGGCATACACAGTATGGGTAGGAATGACTTCCCTGTGTACCTGGGATGATAAATCACCATGTCTCCAATTACACTTTAGGACACTTGGTTTTCCCACATATGCAATAAAGTGAGGGTTTACATCAGCAAAAACACAATGGGAACACAACAGATAAATTTTAAATTCCAACCTAGTGGCTACTAGCTCAGCTAACAAGAAAAGGAAATAAGGTTCTGCAACAGGTGCAAGGAGAGGTAAAGGATGAGGAGGAATTGGGATTTGAACACGGAGGTTCCAGTAACACTAAAAAATACAAAGCCAGCACATTGGCACGCTGATACACCAACAGCAGTGCTAACATCCTGTAGGAATCTGGTTCAACTCCTGGTTGCTCCACTTTCCAATCAGGCTTCCTGCTTAAGGCTAGGAAGAGCAGCAGAGGATGACCAGGGTACATGGGAGACCTGGTTGAAGGTCTTGGCTGCTGTTTTTGGATTGACTCTGCTACGGCCACTGTGGCCCTTTGAAGAGTGAGCCAGCAGATGGAAGCTCTCAGGCTCATCTTCTCTCTCTGTAACTCTTTTATTTTATTATTATTATTTTTTTATTGGAAAGGCAAATTTAGAGAGAGAGAAGGGGATAGATAGAAAGGTCTTCCATCTGATGGTTCACTCCCCAAGGGACCCCAACTGCCAGAGCCAAGCTGATCTGAAGCCAGGAGCCAGGAGCTTCCTCTGGGTCTCCTACACGGGTGCAGGGCCCCAAGGCTTTGGGCCGTCCTCGACTACTTTCCAGACCATAGGCAGGGAGCTGGATGGAAAGTGGAGCATCCTCGTTTAGAACTGGTGCCCATAAGGGATCCCAACAGATACAAGGCAAGGATTTAGCCACTAGGCTATTGCACTGGCCCTAAACAAACAAATCTTTAAAATTATAATAGGGCCCAGTGCAGTAGCCTAATGGCTAAAGTCCTCACCTTGTATGCACCTTGTATGCACCTTGCACATGGCCACCAGTTCAAGTCCTGGCTACTCCTCTTTCATTCCAGTTCCCTGCTTGTGCCCTGGGAAAGCAGTGGAGGATAGCCCAAAGTCTTGGCACCCTGCACCCACGTGGGAGACCAAGAAGAAGCTCTTGGCACTTGGCTTTGGCTCAGCTGAGCTCTGGCTGTTGAGTGAACCAGCGGACAGAAGACCTTCCTCTCAGTCTCTCCTTCTCTCTCTGTATGTCAGCTAAAGCATACAAAGCCAAAAAGTGAAAAAAGAAAATTAATAAACATCCTCACAGGCTTACTTTTTAATGTATCCCTACATCTGAGTAAACTGGAATGAACTCTAGTATTTTAAAGCCAAGAGTTACCTGCAAAGCTTCGAAAAGGTCGTACATGTTCACGGGGGGCAGAGACACGGGCACAGTGTCCCCGGAGCAGGCCAGTAGCAGCGCAGCCTGCTGCTCGGCGTCATCAGGGGGCAGCTGAGACGCTGGGTTCTGACCGGCGCAGGGGGCAGCGAAGGCTGGAGGGCTGAAAATCACGTTTTCAGAAAGAATCTCAGTATCTGTAATGAAGACAACTGAACCCCTACAAATGGCCTGCTGGAATATACATCTTATATTTCAAATACAGATCCCTCTACAGTGAATTAGAAAGGCATTCAGTGAATACAGAGCAGGTGGGAAACCCAATGGAACACCGCTATGTTTATGCTCCTTCTGTCACGACGTTAAAACACTCAGCTCAGACACTGACCCTCAATTGTTCCTGCCCTTCAAAAAAGTTCCAGTTGGAAAAATAATAGCTCTTACCTAAAAGAATATAAAATTGCCAACGAGTGACCTAGACAGGAAGGTGAATTGTTCAAAAATCAAGAGGAAGACAAGAACGAACACAGAGACCACAGGCAGGAGCGGAGGGTGGGAAAACTTCGAGCTTGCCAGTGTCCCCAAGACAGCCCAGACACACAGCAGGCTGGGAGGTCAGTCAGGCACCGTCCTTCCATCCTCACACAGCAGGAGCCATCCGAGGGATTCTGAGGCCAGTACGGGAAGGGCAAGGCAGAGAGCAAGGCGGTCACTCGGTCACTCGGCAGGCAGTCACTGGGGGCAGAGCGCTGCTGCACGCCAGTGCAGGTTAGGAGCATCAGACAAAAGCAGCTCTGTTAGAACAAGCAGCGATGGAGGCCAAAGCCTGCCCCAGACCAACCAGCCTGGGACGTAAGAAAGGGCTCCGGAGTGGCAGTGGGCCGGAAATGCTGCTTCCCACAAGCCCCTCCCCTCCCCCACGACAAGAGTCATCCCAAATGGGTATGTGTTATGTGATTTATACAACAAATCATTACACAAAGCTGTCTAAGCAGCTCAACTGAAAATGGCCTCCTTCAAAATGGGACCTGTGACCCCAGGGAAGCCTTCTGAGCTGTGAGAAGGATGCTGGCATACCCTGTCTGGGGCTGCCAACACTGCCTGCTCCAGCCAGCCCTCCTACTTCCTCACCCATCACCTCCTGCCTCCCCTTCCTGCCATCTCTTTCCCAGCATCACTGCTGTTGGCTTGCAGATCACACTTCTTTTTCTGAATATGTACCAGTCATCTGTTCACGTCTCTTCACCATTATGAACCAGGCACCCAGATAACAAAGGCCAGGACTGAGAAAACACATGGACTTCAGTAACCATGAGAATTCTATTAGTTCCTTTTCTGGCAGCTTTAAGTTCAGACTAACAGGAGGGGTGAGGAGAGGAAGGGAGCTGGCAGAATGAGAAAGGCAGCACATGGATTGAGGTGACCTCATAAAGGGTCAGGAGAGGGTTAGGACAGCAGAGATGTGCGAGCAGTATCAGTGGAACGGGGACTCGCAGAGATGAGCACAGCAGGGGGTCAAGTGCAACCCGTGACCGCCATCATGGTCGTGAGCTGTGGCTGCAAGAGCCAGGTGAGGACATGGAAAAAAAGATCACACTTCCTTACCCCCTGCCTCTCCGCAAACCCCGTCCTGCTACTGCTGATGGAGGACAGGTCCACGTCCTTGCCAGGCTGGCACCATCAGAGCCACCAAGAACTGCTCCGTAACCCACAGGCAGCAGGCACGCTCTGGGACTTCTGGGAAGAAGGGTTCCCAGCTCAGTCACTAGCTAGCCCTCAAGGATGACTTCAGGAAATGCAACCACACTACGATCACGGTGCTTTACACCAACAGAAGCACAATCATCGGCTGTTTGGCATCCACCGAGCAAAGGAGAGGAGGAAAGGCCAGAGCAGCTCAGTTACCTCTCTATCAGGCTGTTGTACGCCACCACGCTATTCTTCAGGTATGGCTGTGGGGTCACACTGCTTCCGAAAGCATACTTAAAATGGCCATCGCGTAACCGATAGGCTTTCCTTCTTGACACGACAGATGTCAGTATATCTTTAAGGTGATTCTGTAAAAAACAAGAAAAAAAAAAAAACAATGCAGCCTCTTTTTATTTTTTTAAAAGCAGAACATGAAACTTCCTCTGTCTACAAAATGCCTGTTGACTTTCGGATGGGCATGAGGGACAGGCTGCCGCACATGAGAACCAAATGCATGTTCCCTAAGCAGCCACAGAGCTGGATCAGGAGAGGCGAGTATGGGAAAGACAGGGCATGCTACTTTGATTTAGCTCTGTTTAAGATGGACTTGCTCTATACAACACTTAAATGGCTCTGTACCTCTAAATTGGATTTTTCAAAAATAATTCCTAGAGAGCTTTAAATAAGATACAAGTACAGGGGTGTGTGTTTGGTGTAGTGGTCAGGTCATCAGTTGGGGCATGCACGTCCCTTATGCGAGTGCCTGTGCGCATCCACGCTACTTCATTTCTGATCCCACTTCCTACCACCGCACACCCCGGGAAGCAGCCGGCTCCCTCCCACCACATGGAAGACGTGGTTAGACTCACGGCTTCAGCAAGATGTAAGTGCAAAAAACAAATACTTTTTTTTTTTTTTACAAAAGAGAACACAGGCTTGTGTTGTGGTGTGGCAGGTTAAAACACTTCTTGGAAGGCTGGCATCCCATACTTGTGCCAGTTTAAGCCCGCACGGCTCCACTCCTGATGCAGCGCCCTGTGAATGCACGTGGGAAGGCAGTGGGAAAAGGCCGAGTCCCTGGGCCCCTACAATCTATGTGGGAGATACACATGGAATTCCAGACTCCTGCTTCACCTGGCACCATCCCAGGAATGAACGTGTACATGGAATTGCTTGCTCTCCTTCTCTCTGTAACTCTACCTTTCAAATAAATAAATCTTGAAAAAAAAGTCAACTATTTGGAAACTTGGTCTAAACTGGGACAAAGTCTGGTGTTTGTTAGTAATTATGTCTAAACTACCCAAATCCTTGCGTGTAAACAACTCTGGATCTCTTAAATGCCACACAAACAACAAACACAGGATAGAAACGCACCAAAAAATGAGTGACTGAAAATCTTCAGCTTTACAAGGACTGACTACTTCTGTGAGAACAGGAAGTGACGGTGGTCCCAGTCTACCCTGGCTAAAAGGGGAACAGGACTGGGCAAAGCACCTCAGTTACATTAGGAAGGCCAGCTTACCATGCCCTGTACAGTTTACAGTGCCTTTCTACTCAAGACCCAATTCACATTTCTAACTTCATAAGACAGGCTCAGAGAATCGAAAGGAATCATCCAGTGTTACCTGACAGCACCTGTACATCCTATAATTCAATGTGTATTTTGTTAAGAAAGGAAATATAGAGTGGATGAGTGAGTGTGCCGAGACAAGCATTCCACAGTGCAGACACCAAGTCCGGTGCTCCCCACACCACAAACAGGTCATCCCTGGGATACGCAATCTCACTTCTTTCCTTCTAAACCATCCACTATTGACAAATATCAGATCAAGCAGAGGTGTTATGCAACCATTCTGAAAAGGTTAGCCTAACAGCTGAAGGCAACTGTATTGCGGTACATACTTCTCCCTTCAAAAATCACACACACACAAATGATGAAAATTCTGTGAAGTCAGAGTGACATTTGGGTTCTTTTGTTTTGCTTTTTTGGCAGCATCAATTTTAAACATCATAACCAGCTCATCACATTCCGACAGAAAAATTACTTCTGCCCGCAGCACACCGACCTCCACCGCACAGACAACAACGGACACAGCCTCCTCCGTGACGTTGTCCAGCCCGTGCTCATAGGCGGTCACGATCATCCTTCCCTCCAGCTGGCCGCGGGTGGGTAGCATCATGGTATGGGAACACAGTTTTAAATCATCATCATCTTGGGGATCCTTTGCCACAAACTGCTGGGCTCCTGAGAGAGGATTCTGAGGCTGGAATCGATGCTGTAAGAAAGCAAATTGTCCAGAATTATTCATTCTAATGGCAAGTAATAAAACATGTTATTAGATTTGATATCCTACCAATCGATGCCACCATCACATACCACCAGGGTCACACACACACAAATAATCTCAGCTTGCATGCCCCTCCATGGTAATAATGAGGTCATGAATTAAAGGGAATTATGATGGTATGCAGCTTGGTTTCTTTTATTTAGTACCCTGAACATAAAATGCTTGGCTGTGCTCAAAATCATGAAGGAGAGTTAGTGCTGTGTTCAGATACGGCAGAGCACTGTAAGCGCAGCTGTGTAGACAGGTTCTGAAAACACCTGGTCAATGCTGGAGTTAGGCCTTCAAGAGCCTAACAAGCAAAGTGACAGGTCTGGTACCAAGCACTCCAAAGCGATGCTGCATCATAGAACCATATACGTGCTATTGGTTCTCCCAGGTCTCAACAGAGAACTTATATGGAAGGCATAGTCATGCTAGTAGGTTCAGCAGTTTTTTCTCAATCTTTTCTCATTGTAAAACCTTCACCTCTTTCTGACAGATTCCAACAGCACTTGCATATTGCCCATCATTATCATTTGGAAACAGGTCCTAGGGAGCTCCAACTTATGCTCAACACACAAGACTCCATCACACTGTCTCTCTATTACAAGATGACAGTGCTATTTTTCCATTTCCCAAGTATAAACTGGATGTTACAGTGAGCAGGCCCTTTGGAGCCAGGCGTGTCCAGATTCTGACACCTTCTAGACTGAATCTGGTCACTGACATGAAACCTAAAGCAAACATCATCAGAAATATTGACACTACCAGCCAAACTTATAAAAGGGCCTGCTTTAAACTGAAAAAAATAAATTATTCTGAAATATTCACTAACGTAATTGCCCAATGCTTTCACAGCTTACTTGCTGCTTCCAGAAAGACCCAGGGCACAGCTGAGCCTCTCTGGGAGACATGAGAGGCTGCCAGGCCACAGGAGCCTCTGGGACAGAGGTCCGCCACGTGAGATGCGGCAGAGGTACAGGACAAGCACAAGTCCTTCCGAGGACGAGGGACAGAGGCAAAGGGCCACTCTTGGGGTCCCTGAAACTCACAGGTCCTACTGCTAAATATTAATATCTGAGTGACACCAACCAAGAATCCTGACATTTCCGACCCTTTTCTAGCCAACGCCTTTGTTTCTACTCTCCTACCAGCTTTTCCAGTATTCATTTGAAAACTGCAGATGGTTCCTTTACCCCAGCACCTAAATCGGTCATTACCAACACACTGCAGGACAACCTACATCAAATTTCTGACGAACAGAAGAGAGCTTTTTCTTTCCCTTGGGTTTTCCAGGCTTGGCTGCAGAACCTCCTGTCCAGGGCAGCGATCCAGCACCCTCTAGGAGACAGCAAAATAATAACCAGAAGGGAAAAATAAGAATGCCTATGAGATACTAAACTTGTTTTTACCTAGGACTAAAAAGGAATGGAATGCTTAAGAAGTCAAATGAAATTTTAAGAAAGGTATATATTCAAATCTCACTTTCTATAAAAAAGAATTATAAATTTTACCTCTAACTAAAGTCAAATTTTACACAGAAAAAATGAATTTTGGGGGATGATGCTGTGACGTATAAGGTTAATCCTCCGCCTGAAATGCTAGCATTCCATGTGGGCAACAATTCAGGATGAGCCTGTTTTACCTTCAGTCCAGCTATCTGTGAATGGCCTGGGAAAGCAGCAGAAGATGCCCCATGTGCTTGGGCCCCTGCACCCATGTGGGACATCTAGAAGAGGCTCCTGGCTCCTGACCCATTGTGGCTTTTGGGGAACAAAACAACAGGTGCAAGATATATTTTTCATTCTCTCCCTTCCTCCCTCTATTTCTCCTTCTCTCTGTGTAACGCTGCCTTTCAAGTAAATTAAAAATAATAATACATCTTTTTAAAGGTTTTTGTTTACATTTTTAATTAAAGGTTACTATATGTTCTATTGATCAGTAGCAGCACTTACATTATTATAAAAGCAGCGCAGATCAGCACCATGGCATAGTAGGTTAAACCTCTGCCTGTGAGGCAATCATCCCATATGGGTGCCAGTTCAAATTCTAGCTGCTCCACTTCCAGTCCAGCTCCCTGCTAATGCGCCTGGCAAAGCAGTGGAACACGGCCCAAGCTCCTGGGCCTCTGTAGGCATGTGAGAGACCCGGAAGAAGTTCCTGCCTCCTGGCTTTGGACTAACCCAGCTTTAGTCATTATGGCCATTTGAGGAGCGAACAATAAAATAAAAGATCTCTCTCCCTCTTTCTCTGTCTAATCTTTCTGTAAATTTGCCTTTCAAATAAAAAATAAATAACAAAGAAATTGTAGGGCAGAATTTCCTAATCTAAAATGCTGAACTAAGTGTATATATTTTTCTCCTCTCTCCTTCAAGACCCGACTAAAATTGACAGAGGAAGGTAAGTGGCGCATTCACACAATGAAGATAAAAAAGAAGACAGGGCCTGGCATGATAGCGTAATGGTTAAGGTCCTTGCCTTGAATGCGCCGGGATCCCATATGGGCGCCAGTTCTAATCCCGGCCACTCTACTTCCCATCCAGCTCCCTGCTTCTGGCCAGGGAACGGCCCAAAGCCTTGGGGCCCTGCACCCGCGTGAGAGACCTGGAAAGAAGTTCCTGGCTCCTGGCTTCAGATCGGCTCAGCACTGACTGGCCATTGCGGCCATGTGGGGAGTGAATCATCAGACGGAAGATCTTCCTCTCTATCTCTCCTCCACTCTGCACATCTGCCTTTCCAATAAAATAAATAAATCTTTAAAAAAAAAAAAAAAAGAAGGCAGGAGATGAGATGAAATCTCAACCAGTCCAACGTGGCACTAAGGGGACACTTGCACACAAAGCAGATACCTAGGGACTGTAACCTAGGCAAGCAGAATGGCAAAGGAAGCGAAGACAAGCCAACCTGCCGAGCAGAACCCACAATCTGGAATTGGTGATCAGGTTACTGAGAAAACAAAGAGGAATCTTGAAGGCAGAAAACAGAATCAATACAAGGCCTAGTCTCAAACATCATCCACGAAAAATTCCTTCTCTCACGCCAAGGATGGACTCCCTACAACACTCAAGTGCACAAGTCATAAACTCATGTGCTTCAGTTTGGGGTCTGTGTACAACAGTGTATAGTAAGGAAAAAATGTCTAAAGAAAATTAAAGTGCAGGGTCACCTCAGAGGGGCTATGGAGGTCCCAAAAGAAGAACAAAGCACAAAACGAAGAAGCTTTTCTTCATAAAGCCTTTTCTTTCTAACATTATGAACATATTTTCTTGTTTGTTTTTGTTCTGTTTTTGCAGATGGAGAAGTGTTATTTTTGAAGGGACCAGGTGAGCAGGGAAAGACGAGGGAGACGGAAAGCACCTCCCGAGAGAGAGCCAGGAGGTAGGGTGGCTCTTGAAAGGAGAGAGGGCGGGACACCCAAAATTCTGTAAAGAAAAAGAATTAATATAAGTCCCTACAGTCCATGTGAGAAAAAGAAAATTTAAAATGGGGTGGGTGGGAAAAAGCCACCTATAATCCCAGTAAAATGGTATTAGCATTTTGATGTTTGGGGAAGGAAAACCAGTTTGGGAGGGCCAGCCCCTCTTCTTCAGCAGCCACTGGCATACCCAGAGGTCACCGGCTAAGAGTCAGGCGGTCGTGGCTCATTCTTTTACTCAGTGCAACTTGTGCTGAATGAGGACTGGAAAGTGTGCCGACCCCACAGAGGATGGCGAAGGAAAGGCCCGGTGGCCCCATGGCTCCGACACTTCACCTGAGGCCGGCACCTGCTACCGAAGCTTTTCAGTAGCAGTCAGCTCAGTGTTTTGGTCCAAACACTTCCACTTACTAGCTGGAGAAAGCCTCAGTGTTTTTCGTTGCTTCTAAACTGTTTCCTTACCTAGCAGAGCCTCTGAGGTTCAACCTGCAGGGCCGTGCAGACCATGTACATACATGATCTTTTCTACCTAGCTTAGAAAAAGATACAATCCAGCCTCAATGGAAAACAACATTTTACTTTTAACAGGGAGTATCCATTTGTTACTACCAAAAATTAATGTCATTTTGAGGCAATGATTTTTGAGTCATAATCTACACATGCACGAGGCACCTGTGAGTTTAAGTCTTTAACACAAAGCAGAACAGCTTTCATCAAGGGAGAAGTTTTCAGGGTATTCAAGTCTTTTTTTTTTTTTTTTGAAGATTTATTTTATTTTTATTGGAAAGGCGGATATACAGAGAGGAGAGACAGAGAGGAAGATGTTCCGTCCGATGATTCATTCCCCAAGTGAGTGTAACGGCCGATGCTCCCGCGTGGGTGCAGGGTCCCAAAGCTTTGGGCCGTCCTCAACTGCTTTCCCAGGCCACAGGCAGGGAGCTAGATGGGAAGTGGGGCTGCCGGGATTAGAACCGGCGCCCATATGGGATCCCGGGCGTGCAAGGCGAGGACCTTAACCACTGCGCCACTGCGCCAGGCCCAAGTATTTGTTTTTAACTAACCACTTAAAGTATGATATTTGAAACAGGTTATTTGTAACTTTATCCACCACTTAAGCTTCAAAGCACAGCTGGAGGAATCGGTGTTTGTTTATTCCTTAGGCTGAAGGGAGAAGCTTAGTTCTACCACTTCATGGACACGCTGCTGGCTACTCCCTTCACCCTGTTCTCCAGCAATGTGCCAGACCCACCTGCCCAAGCTCTCCCCTCTCAAGGGCTAATATCTTACCTAAGAGTTCAAGTGCAAGTCCAGGTTCCCAGCACCTGTTGTGGTTTCATTTCTTTGTGACTCACCTCTCCTTTATGCGCCAACACTAACTCCTAACACAAACAGCCCTCTCTTCGCTCCCCTCACCTTCTCCATCTCACCTCCCAGTCTCTCATTTCCCATTGACTTAAGCCATCTGACCTTGAGCTGATGCAGAGGCCAAAAATCAACACAAACGCAGGAAATCTCCCCTAAAAAGGGTCTGCAGAAGAATTTCTATTTACACAGTAAACAACAAAAAAAAATGTTTTTGGCATGGGCAATTCACTGAACAAGTCACATCAGACACAACACGTGTCCTTCAGAGGAAGCGATGACCCACTGCTCCGCGGCTTTGCTAACTGACTCCACGGCGAGAACTTCTGCTCCATTACCTGGTGTAGAAACCAGAATCTGACAGCGCGTGAGAATGGCCAGCAGGAAATCGTTGTGAGAATGGACTGAAAAAGGGAAGATTAGCACAAGTCAAACACAAAATAACTTTCAACATAAGAAAATCACTATTTTCTGTCCCCTACTACATCCATTATCATTATTTTTTTTTACTATTCTATCCTTTACTCTTAATTTTTTTCATATCCATAGTATTGCGATAACCTCGTAAACAATAAAAATCAAAATTTTATCCCTTAAAAATAGGGGGGAAAAAAACTTCACTGAAAATCTAGGAAAACCTGAAAGCAATAAACTAACTCTCCCCAGAACTTGATCTTACCATTGTCCTGCGTGAGAAGTCTGTGAGCTTCAAGGTCAAATTCTTCCTTGCTGATCTTCTGCTTGAACCACAGCTTCAAGTTGGCCCAGTATCTGCGGAGGAAGTAAGAGGACACAGAAGCACGGCTGCTGCTACTCCCCCGTTCACCTTGGCGGCTCCAGCTCCCAGCGAAGACACCTGCCTTCCCAACGCCACAGCCCAGCTGGGCTCCCAACATCTGCCTTCACACCGCAGCATCTCGGAGCAGGACGGTGCTGAGTCAGAGTCTTGAAAGGAGTCATTAAAATGAGGCTGTTAGGATGGACCCATGCTCATTCAATATGACCGATGTCTCATCAGGAGATGGGGCACAGAGAGAGGGACACCAGGCAGACACACAGGAAAGGACAGGGTGATGGCCGTCCTCCCCGGGGGCAGGGTGCTCCTCCAGCAGGCTCTCGGGCTTCCGTCTCCAGCACTGAGAGAAGAACCGTCTGCTGTTACATGAACTCAGGGTGTGACATTTTGTCCTGGCGCGCCCAGCAAAGCGCCACACTAGCAATAAGACACGTGGCGCCCTCGAAAAGGGACTGGTAGTCGTGAACTGGACCCCTAAGTCATTCCATCCTCTCTGCCCACCACCACCCCTTTCCTTCTCACTGTCAGCGTGCCCTTCCTGTTTCTTCCCTTCCTTCATTCTCTCTCCCTCCTTCTTTCCTTCTTTTCCTTCTTTTTAAAAAAATTTATAGTTTGAAAGGCAGATCTACAGATCGAAGGAGATACAGAGAGAAAGATCCTCCGTCCACTGGTTCATTCCCCAAGTAGCTGCAACAGCTGTAGCTGAGCCCATCCTAAGCCAGGAGACAGGAGCTCTTCCACGTCTCCCATGTGGGTGCAGGGTCCCAAGGCTTTGGGCTGTCCTCTACTGCTTTCCAAGGCCACAAGCAGAGAGCTAATCAGAAATAGAACAGCTGGAATACGAACTGGTGTCTATGCGGGATGTCAGCTCTGCAGGTGGAGGCTTAACCTACTACACCACAGCACTGGCTCCTGTCATTTTTCTAGGAGAGACACTCTCCCCCAGAAGGCCATATTTCATGCCAGGGACTGGCCATTAACACTCACCCTTGGGGACAGCTTTCTCTTGTGAAGAATCAATGTTTTTCTTTTTTTTTTAAGATTTATTTATTTTTATTACAAAGTCAGATATACAGAGAGGAGGAAAGACAGAGAGGAAGATCTTCCATCCATTGATTCACTCCCCAGGTGAGTGCAACAGCCCGATGCTGAGCCAATCTAAAGCCAGGATCCAGGAACCTCCTCTGGGTCTCCCACACAGGTGCAGGGCTCCAAGGCCTTGGGCCTTCCTCGACTGCATTGCCAGGCCAAAAGCAGGGAGCTGGATGGGAAGTGGGACTGTTGGGATAAGAACCAGCGCCCACATGGGATCCAGATGTGTTCAAGCCAAGGACTGCAGCCATTAGGCCACTGAACCAGGCCCAGCACTCAAGTGTTTTTCTAGCTGGCTTAACAACTGAGTTTCTAAACATCCCACCACAAACAAAAAACTCTACAGATACGGAGAAACTAGATGTTTTTGAAAGTGAAAACCAGTACCTAATAATAATAGTGACTAGGCAACTAGTAAGAAGAAAAAAATTAACCTTTTATACCTTAATAGCATTGTTAGGAATAAAATACATTATTTCTCATCACGGCTTAAGAAAGCTGCTTCTAGGGGCTGGCGTGGTGGCACAGCCAGTAAAACCACCTCCCACGATGCCAGTTCAAGGTTTGGCTGCTCCAGTCCCAGGCCAGCCCCCTGCTAACATGCCTGGGAAAGCAGTGCAACGTGGTCCCAGGTGCCCTGAGCCTCTGCCACCCACCTGGGAGAGCTGGAGGGAGCTGTTGGCTCCTGCCTTTGGCTTGCCCCAGCCCCAGCTAGTGTGGCCACGTGGAGCATGAACCAGCAAATAGAAGCACTCTTTTGAACTCTTCCAAATAAATAGATAAATCTTTAAAAACAAAGAAAAAAAGCTATTTCTCGTTCAAAGAATACTACTCGACACGTGTGTCCACACTTTCAGTTCAGACTCACCTACCTGTTACGGCGCCTGAGTTCCTAACCAAGAAACAGATTTCTATAGAAGATGCAAGGTGGTGTAAGGATCTCATTGCCCTCACCCTCCCCACAACAGGTATCTTTGTAAATATGCAACTGCAGCTAAACTCCAGCTTCCAGGGCTTTCTCTCTCCCCAGGAGAAAAGCAGCAGCTTTTTATAATCCAAACTCAGCTCCAGGCCGAGGACCCACCTTCTCTCACAGGGCCTTTCCACTCCACAGAGATGCAGGATTTTTGCTCCAGGGCTTGGTGCCTTTCTCACCTGATGTTCATCTACTCCTTAGGCAATAATAACTTCCCACTAGAGGACATTTTCATACATTTTTTTTTCCTTCGAAGTACAAGATAAGCCACCAACATAAAAAAAAATAACACTAAATTTTCTATCCAATCAAAGAAGCCCTCAACAGGAAGCACACTTTAAAAGGCCCGTGTCGCTATTTTCTGAGAAACAAACATAATCCCCGGGCATCTGGAGCAAGCCAAACTTGTGCTAGGCCCAAGACGAGGATCTCCCAGCGAGCTCTGGCAACAGGAGGCTCTCTGTCATCTCAGACGGCAAGCTCCCTGGCCAAACGGCTAGGATCTGCCTTCTCACTTGTGCACCTGCTGCTGGCTCCCTGGGCTGGCTGAGTGACGGACTCAGCATGGGCAAATGGCTGCTTCCCACCACCACAACAGTCATGTTCTTGCTTAACCTCTACAAAGGCCAGGATGGGCAGGTGACAAGCCTAAGCAGAGCAGCTCATGGAAGACACGTGGGGAATGCCTGCCTGGTGGGATTACAAAGTAGTTAGTTCTTTGTAACTACACTAAGCATGGTGGCTCAGTGGCTAAATCCTCACCTTGCACATGCCGGGATTCCATATAGGCACCAGTTCACGTCCTGGCTGCTCCACTTCCCATCCAGCTCCTTCCCATGGTATGGGAAAGCAATTCAGGATGGCCCAAAACCCTGGGACCCTGAACCCACATGGGAGACCTGGAAGAATCTCCAGGATCCTGGCTTCGGATCAGTTCAGCTCAGACCTTTGCAGCCACTTAGGGAGTGAAGCAGCAGATGGGAGATCTTTCTCTCTGTCTCGCTTTCTCTCTGAAATATGCCTTTCCAATAAAGTTAAAAAAAAAAAAAAAGTAGCCAGCCAAGGGGCACTTTCTTTGAAGATTAAATTTTTTTACTTTTTTTTTTTAACTTAAGAGAATTACGGGGGGGGTTGGGGGGGGGGACAATTTCTATCCACTGGTTCACTCCCCAAATGACCGCAAAAGCCAGAGCTAAGCTGGCCCAAAGCTGGGAGCCAGGGGCCTCTTTAGGTCTTCCACATGGGTGCAGGGACCCAGGCCTCGAGCCATCCTCCACTATTTTCCCAGGCCACAAGCAGGGAGCTAGATGAGAAGTGAAGCAGCTGGGACAGGAACAAGTGTCCATAAAGGATGCTGGCACTGCAAGTGGGGACTTAACCTCCCACACTGCCACACCAGTCTCATGGGGCACTTCTTAAGCAGAAGGGAAAAGGACAGTGAGAGACTGGAAGAAGCACGCTCTACAAGATGATACTGTACCACTAGCTGTTCCTGGCACCAAGATCCCCTTGACTTGCTTTGCTACAGGGGACTGGGCCAAGGATGTACCAGACAGCTTCAGCACTGGGGTTAAATCAACCTCAGAGAGCCGGCTTTGGCATTCTGAAGGGAATGCCAATTTCAAAAAACATTCCTGCCAGCCCTGAGCTGGGTGTGATGGGTGCTGGTCCGGGGAGGGGGTCAGCATTGCTTCTGCTCGGAGGCCATCATGCACACAAACAGGGTTTCCCGGGATAACTTTAAGAAAAGGAACAGAAAAAAAAAAAAATGTAAGTTTGACCAGTCAGAATCCCAAAAGTACAGAGCTATTGTGACTGATGACAGGGAGAGCTAGCAGTTCTAGTTAGTAAAATAACCAAGGATTTTTAATTCACTAACACAAAGAGACCAACAGTCCAGACCCACAGTAAGAGGTAACTTGAGGTGGAACACCGCACCTGTGGGAGTCCACACACGCCCACAACTACACAAGTAACGATGGGGAAGCCACAGAAGCTTTGGTCTGACCTGTGGGTGCCTCCTAAAGACGAAAAGCAGATTGTCACCTCTGAGGCCTCAAAATCAGATATGAAGAGCTCTCAAACTCACAAGTGACATTCAAGCCAGGCAATTTCGCCCCGGTCACGATAAAGAACAACGCACAGAGATGAACAGAAGGAAAGGTTGTTTTTTATCCCCAATCTCTCTCCTCCACCGCGTCATTTCCAAGCAGGCATCCATCGCACAAGGCAAAGATGTACCCCACAGAAGCCATTTGGCGGCAGCACCTCTGGACCTGTCATCCAAACGGCGACGGGCGCTCCCTGCGTTTCTGAAAAATCAAACTGTAGCCGCCTTGGGAGAATCTCCACACCCATCCTGGTCTCTCCCGGGCTCTGACTTGCTGCGGCCTCGGCCCGACATTGGGATGACCGCTGGCCACTCAGCATCTGATCAGACTGCGTCCCTTGCTAGAATCCAGGGGAGAGCTGACTGTGCGTCCTGGGGTCCCCCAGAACCCCTGGCCGGCTGCGGGGCAGGGATGGGCGGTCCCAAGCCCGGCTCTGAGTCCTGAACTTGTTGGGTCTCTTTCTGCCGATCGGTCGATCGATCGATAGAGTTTATCTATCCGCATCTGTCTTGGCAGCAGATAACGCGGGCAGCGCGCAAAGGCGTTGAAATGTCCACTGCTGCTACCATCACCGCGACTGTAGTGGCGCTTGGGTGCCTATTATTTTCCTGGAGGGAGGGACCGCTGTCAAGGCGCTTACCACTAATGCCTGACAAGTTCACACAGACGCCAAGCCTCCGCCTCCAGGAAGACCTCGGGGGCGTGCCACCCTGCTCCGGGTCCGCTTGGGCCCAGCCGCCGTCGGACTCCGGCTCCCAGGGCTAGCCAGCCGCGGACTCGCGCACCCGGTGCCCCAGCACCGGGATCCGCCCCGGCTCCCCAGGCCCTTGGGCATGAGGTGCGCGCCTTCCCGCCCCACCCCGGGCACCGAGTCCCCGGCCAGGGCGCCCGCCCGGGCCCCGAGCGTGCCCAAGAGGCCTGGCCGCGACGCGAGGCTGCCCAGGCCTCGGGCGCTTAGGGGCGGCTCCGGGGCGACAGGCAAGCCCGAGGCCAGGCCGGCACAGGCGCCTTAGGCCCTCAGGCTGCGCCCCAGAGGCTCTTACTGTTTCACGTTGTCCCCCAGGGCCTCGCTCAAGTTCTTCTTGGCCGCCTCCAACTCGCTGACAAAGGTCGCCATTGCTCCGCGCGTCTCAGCCCGACCGCAGGCCGCCCGGGCTCCGGCGCTCAGCAACCGAAAAACCAACCGGGCGGACGGCCTCGGCCGAGTCCGCACGCTTCGGCCCCGCCCCCAAGCTCTCCCAAGACGTTTATTTGGTGTTCGGCCCCGCCCGCCTTTCAGCGGGGAAGGTGTTCGGACGAACTCGGCGCCGCTCCTCCCGCCCGGCGGGTCACGTGACGCCCGCTCCTTGCCCTCGCGCGCCCCCCGCCGGCTGCAGCGGCGCCTGCAGGGCTGGCGAATCCCAGCGCCAGGTCAGTCCACGCTGGTCAGCCCACGCTGGTCAGTCCACGCTGGTCACCCCACGCTGGTCAGTCCACGCTGGTCACCCCACGCTGGTCAGTCCACGCTGGTCAGCCCACGCTGGTCAGCGCACGCTGGTCAGCCCACGCTGGTCAGCCCACGCTGGCCATCGCAGCCGTCCTCCCACCGCGCCCAGTGCCTTTCCTCGCATAGAGAGAGTGCACACGTTCTTCTTGCCTTGCTTTTTATCCCCGAACGCTGTCCGGCTACAGTGTTCTGCCTCTTCCACCCAACAGAGCGATTGCTTGAAGGGACGGGATTTGCTGTGAACCTTCAGTAAGTATTTGCTAAGTGAACCGAGTGGTTTGTGGACATTGGAAGGGACGGGCCTTGTGGCCCATAGCAAGTGCTGGTTCCTGCCCTCTGGTTACTGGTGGGCTTCAAGCACCCGGGGAGGCCATGCACACGGGCTGCTGGGCAGACAGGCAGTGAACCAGCCGACGACGCATTTCTCTCTCCCCCTCTCCAACTCTGCCTTTCAAATAATTTTTTTAATCTTTTTTAAAGACATCTTTATAATGATAATTTTAGTAACAGCTCATTAAATTCCACACGGAAAGTACATGACAGCTAGTTTCCAGTGAGAATAGCTTTTTCATTTTTTCTCAATCAATAAATTTTATGTACCAAATTTCCATCATTTAGGAGTACTGTTCTACAATAGAGTCCACAATTTGAATTAATGGGTGAAATCATAGAAATATGTATAATGTCTTGGGTGTGAATTACCAAGTTGCTAAAGAGTTACAATAAATCTAAATGTTTTTTAAGACGTTTGTTCTTATTGGAAAGTCAGATACAGAGATAGAAGGAGAGACAGAGAGAAAGATCTTCTGTTTATTCACTCCGTAGACACTCGCAGGCCAAAGCTGAGCCAATCCAAAGCCAGGAGCCAGGAACTTCTTCCAGGTCTCCCACATGCAGGCGAGTGCAGGGTCCCAAGGCTTTGGGCCGTCCTCAACTGCTGTCCCAAGTCCCAGCAGGGAGCGGGATGGGAAGCGTGGCCACTGGACATGAACAGGACCATATGGGATCCTGGCACGTGCAAGGCAAGGATTTTAGCCACTAGGCCACCGCACTGGGCCCCTATTTTTTTAAGTTTTTTTTTTTTTTCTGGAAAGGCAGATTTACAGAGAGAGAGAGAGATCTTCCATCCACTGGTTCACTCCCCAAATGGACTCAATAGCTGGAGCTGAGCTGATCCAAAGTCAGGAGTTTTTCCAGATCTCCCAGACATGAGGTTCAGATTCCGCGGATTTGTGTACAAAGCCCTGCTCCTCTCCAGGGTCCAGGGCCTTGCCCAGCAGAAATGGCTGACTGCCTTTGTCAGTCCACTCACCCGCTCGTGTTGACCCAGGAGCCTTCTTCTCCAAGCACTGTCAGGGAGTGTGTGCCTTGTCTTCCGTTTCAGACAGCAGCATCTCAGCTTTATGGGAAGTTCAGCTTTAAAATGCTATTAGTAACAGTTGGAAGTTCCCAGTTGAACTTGCTGTTTTAGTATTTACTATGACTTATCACATTGTGCCCCAAACTCAGCATATCTATCTGTCTCAGTTAAATATTATAGAAAAATTTACATTTTCCCATTTGTATGTTTATCAGTCTATACATTAATATAAATATTTTGGATTTAGTATGGTTGAAAACAAACTGCAGACCACTTACCATCCCTCATACTGCATACCATATATTAATTTTATGACTACTAAAAAGGGGTAAACAGGTTTTGATTTTTTTTGAGCCTTTGTTTTAAGATTTTATTTTTTATTTGAAGGGCAGAGTTAGAGGGAAAAGGCAGGGAAGGGGAGATGCTGAAAGAGCTTCCATCCACTGATTCACTCCCCCAGATGGTTGCAACATCCAGAGCTAGGCCGATCCAAAGCTAGGAGCCAGGAGCTTCTTCCAGGTCTCCCATGCAGGTGTATCCCCTGCTGCTTTCTCAGGTCATTAGCAAGAGCTGGACGGGAAGTGGAGCAGCCAGGACTCTAAGCAATGCCGGCCACCGTGCTGGCCCTAAGTCTTTAACCTTCTCTTTAATGCCACAGTGGTGGTCTGGTGCCCTTCTAAGAATATTGTTTTTAAAGACGTACATTACACAGGACTAAATTAGATTTCACTCAAATCCAGTTGCATCCAGAGGCGTTTCATTGTCAGCTCCGAATTGAAGTGTGCCATGTGCTTGCCTTAGAAGGTTCAGGTCGCTATACGAGACAAGAGACCACAGGCCTGTTACTTGTCATAGTCCAGTGTCAGAGAGTGAAATGTCATCATCCGGGTGCTGCGCGTTTGGTTTTTGGTGAGGGTTCCTTTTGTGGCTTGCAGATACTCCTGTATTACATGATCTTTACGGTGCATGCTCGAGAAAGAAGATGCTCTCTGAAGATGAGGACACTGAGCCTTTGATATCAGCCCCCCCTCCACCTTCATTTATCTTAATTACTTCCTCTGCACTAACAGCCGCCAGGGATTCAAACCTGAGCCGCTGAGTCTGGGGACACACCCACACAATACCCCAGAGCTCGCTGGTGTTCCTGTTACCCTCCCCCAGATTAGCTTTGGAGATGAAAGTTCTAGGAGTCGGAGACTTAGAGACTATCTAGGGATTCTGATGAATGAAAGACACCTACACAACTCCAAAAACACTGAAAAGTGGGCCCTGTTTTTACAGCGCATTTTCATGCCATCATGAATATAATTGACTCAATCAAAGCTTTTTTGCCTAGAGTCGGCAAGTCTCAGAATAGAGGAATAAATATTTAAGGAATAGAAAGCAGGAATTCAATCAGTGCTCGTAGATGGAGATAAAAGCCAGTCACCTGTACGAAACTTACACATTATAAAATGGGAAGAATTCTACAAATATTTGTTAAGTCCTCTTGGAGAAGAGAGATTGGGGATAAAAAAAAAACAATCTCTGCTTCTGTTCATCTCTATGCGTTGTTCTTTATCGTAACCGGGGCGAAATTGCCTGGCTTGAATGTCACTTGCGAATTTGGGAGCTCTTTCTTCATATCCTCTTTTTTCTACTTTGGAGGTGTTGCACTTTCTCCAGGCTGCACCACAAGAACCATCAACAGTGGCCCATGCTATAGCACAGTGGTTATGCTATAGCACAGTGGTTAAGGTCCTTGCCTTGCACGCACCAGGATCCCATATGGGCGCCGTTTCTAATCCCGGCAGCCCCGCTTCCCATCCACTTCCCTGTTTGTGACCTGGGACAGCAGTCAAGGACAGCCCACGCCTTGGGACCCTGCACCCATATGGGAGACCTGAAAGAGCTCCTGGCTTCAGATTGGCTCAGCCCTAGACGTTGCGACCACTTGGGAAGTGAACCATCTGACGGAAGATCTTCCTGTCTCTCCTCCTCTCTGTATATCCACCTTTCCAATAAAAATAAATAAAATCTTCAAAAATAAAATAAAAAAAGAACCACCAATGATGTGGTGGAACTTGTGGCCCTTTCCAAAGCCACGTCTCTTGAGGCCTGCAGGTGTCAGTCTGTGCATTGCCCTGTGCTTGTGGACTGGCTTGGTGACCTCTGGGGTGTCAGGGTTTCTTCTGATGCTTTGTGGAACGGATTGATGGATGTGGAATCTTCACCAACCAGTAAGAATCCAGGATTCACAGAGCCCGCAGTGACACCCTGCTCGTTCCTGCACACTTCAGGCTTCGTACAGACTTCAGCTGGTTAACTCCATGATGGACAAGCTTGCTTTAAGTTATACCCTCTGGCACTGGGTGCATGTAGCCACCATGGTGCACAACAGTTCTATATAGGACATTATATCCCATCTATATTGGCCTTGTACCCTGTACACCTTGTTGGGCCGCCCTGTGTAGCGCTGAGAGCTGGAGATTCTGCAGCGAACCCACAGCAGAAAGCATATCACGTCTGACTGCTTCTTCCTGCACAGCTCCCGGATGTACTTGTAGGCAGCCATCCTGGCTAATCTGATGGCCGCTGGCCCACAGAAATGAAGAAGACTTCCACCTACAATCCTTTCAGTGGTACAAGAAACTTCTAAAAATTCCATATTTATTGGAAAGACAGAGTGAAGGAGAGATAGCAAAAGAGATCTCCCATCCACTGCTTCACTCCCTGGGTAGCCACAAGAGGCAGATCTGGACCAGCCAAAGCCAGCACACAGGAACCTCCCATGTGGGTGACAGGAGTCTGAGTGCTCTGGGCCATTGTCTGTTGCCTTTCCAGGTACATTTTCAGGGAGCTGGATCAGAAGTGGAGTAGCCAGGACTCAAAATTATGGGACCTGGTGTCATACATTGCAACCTAATTCATTGCACCACAACACCAGCCTCAATGCAAGTGCTATTACACCCCAGTCATTCAGAAGCAGAGCCACCAAGTGAGGACAGAAGTGCAGTTGTGTGTCCAGTTCAGCTGAGGGGACAAGACAGAAGGCAGGTTATGGAGCAGAGCTTAGTCATTCGCAGCTTTTAAGGCCACCTAGAAGTAGTCAACTGTGGGCACAATCCCTAAGCTCTCCCCAGGACGTTATCCATCCCCTGAAGGGGTCTGCAGGGCCAGCTTCTCTTCTCTTGCCCCTTCCTCACTCTAGCAACCTTACAACTAAGACGCCCCTTGGATCTGTGAAGAGCACCATAGACAGTAGAATATCGCTGTTGTTTTTTTAAACCTTCATACACATGAGTTATTAAACTGCATATGTTGGAAAACACCCCTTCAAATCTGTAAGCAGGCAGCCAAATTTAGAGAAGTTGGCTAAAGGCTT